AGCAGGGTAAGCAATCTGCTTTTTGTTAAGGGTCGGTAATATTGCATTCTTTAAATGTACAAATGGTCTTTTTGCTTGAAGTAATTGAAAAGGCAGTTAATTACTTTTAACTCAGAAGTCTATTATGTTTTTAGAGCAGCCCTGCACAGCCCAAAATCCTTGTAGCCCATCATCCTCCTTTTGGCAGTTGTTAGCAGAGGATGTGTAGAAGAGATGTACAGGCAATAGGGCAAGCCCGGGCTGAACTTCCCTTAGCTGGTGGCAGAAGCTTGAGGATTTCCTGGCCTAGACGCTGTGCACCTCTGTGGCTGTAGCGCCTAACGATCCTGTCCTCTGTGAGGCTGTCTGGTTTCTTTTTAAACTGTTAGTCCCCACTGTATCTGTGAAATGATTTCTGCAATATAATTTATGTTGTATATGAAAAAGTACTTTTCAATAAAAGCTTTATCTAGCAGTTTCACTGGATTCTGTCTTCTTGCGTTGAAGGGGGAAAGATGATATCTGTCATTCTTATTTTCATATCGCCACAGATCTGTATTGTGTCCTCATCAGTCATTTATTTTCTAAGCTGGGGAGTCCTAGCCTAATTTTTCTGTGATCATCCTAGTACCCATCTCCACAGCATTTCCAGTATTGTTACATCCCTGTTGAAATAGGACCCAGAGCTGCATGTGGCATTCAGAATGTGAACATGCTGCGGCATTAGGCAGAGAGGGGTGAAGGTGCTTTCTGTCTTGGTCTCAGTTCCTTTCCTCAGGATTCGTAACATTCTGCTTGTTCCTCTGAACACAGCTGAGCCTTGAGCTGGTGCTGTCAGAGAGGTACTCATGTCTTTTTCCCAAATGCCCATAACTGGTTTAGAGATGATTTTGGGGTTGTCATTTCCTGTGATTCTTTCTCATTTATTGACAACTCATTTATTTGCCAATTAAACTGGGATCAGTCTGATTCACTGAGCTGTTTGAAGGTTGTATATCTGTCCTGATGTGGTCAGCTTGTGGGATTTTTTTCTCTATAGTTGAGAGAGAGAGATGGGCACCGGCAGACACTATTCATCAGGCCATGCTCACCTCTTCTTAGCAGGATGTCTCGCTTGCCGGTGGGTCCAGATGCCTGCCTTTGCTGTCCAGGTAACTGAACTGTTTCTCAGATGGCAAAAGATCCAGTGAATTCTGCTTGGTGTAGTGAGAGAACCTTCGGCAACTGTTGAAAGTTTCTTTTGGATATCGCATGTAGTTGAGTATAATCAGCAAAATTCGCCAATTTCCTAGTAATCTCCCACTTCAGATCACTTACAAATAGGCTGGACAGTGTAAATTCCAGCATAGTTTCCTTCAGCATCTCCTTTACAGCTTCCTCCAGTTTCAAAGTCCTAACCAATTTGTCTCTCCCAAGGCAAGGTGCCTTTGTAGTTTAATAACCAGTTAGAAGATAGAACACAATCTGGTTTTTACTGTACAGTGGGATACATTTGGATACAATTTTTCTTTTTGAAACAGCCAGCATTGATTACTGCAATATACAGGATACTGGAGTATGGCTCTTGCGTTGTTCCGGCTGCAGAATTTGTTTTCTTGCACATTCTTGCACTGTGCCTTCGCTGTGTTTACTTTTAAAGTTTCTCCTGGAAGGCACATTGAATGGCTGAATGCCAAAAGATTGTCTTTCAAAAGAGAAGCTTAGGATAGCTTAAGCTGTGTTAATTGTTTACTCAACTGTACTCTCAACTTCTCATATTTATTTAAAGTTCCATTCACCATCTGGTAATTATGCTGTCTACATCCTTAGATGGTCCATAATTACCAGCAGTGGATGACGGAGAGCAGAGGTGATTTTGCAAACTCTGGGTTTATCTTCAGCTTTCCTAACAAATGCATGTTTCTGTTGCAGAACTGGTGGTTATTAGTATCTCTCACCTATTCAGACCTATGAAGAAAACAGAGTATTTTTTTTTTTTTAAGTCGCATCTAGATCAACATCAAGAACACCGAGTTCAAGCTAGATGATTTTTTATTTTCTTACTTGATTTTTGCAGTGTACCTCTCTGGGAACCTTATTTTGCATTATCAGCTGTACACAGAGGATTGTTTTAAATTTTTTTTTTGGAGATTTAAATCTGTCTCCACATACTGAATTCAACTTACAGTTAGAGATTCTTGATAAGTGCATGCTTCAGAAAGCACACCCGCTGCAAAGATGAACTATTAGATAGATAGTTCATCTTCTTGTTCTCAAAAACTGAAGTGAAAATGATGCTTACTGGACATCTGTTATTCTTCATTGCTGAAATTCCATGCTAGAAGTCAGAGTAGACAGAAACTGCTATTACTGCGTGATTTGACTTCAAATGTGTGATGAGCTAATTCACTGAGCATGGTCTGGAACAGAAGTAGGCATAGGTTAAATGTTATTTTCTTGTTCAACAGCCCGCCCACCTTAGTATCAACAAACAGAAGAAGCCATTACTGTGTGCTACTTTTTGACTTCTTATTCTCACAGAGTAGAACTGTATCTGTGCTAATTATATTTTATTTGCAGTTAGACATTTGAGACAGAAGCACTTTAGTCCAGCTGTACTTGGGCATTACCAGGAACTCTAGGTTTTCTTGTACATCTTATCTCCCAGTGCTGACAATATGATAAATACATCGAGGAATTAAGTAAACCAACAATTTTGCTTATAACATGAGTGGCTCATAACATTTTATGCAGTTCTGTACCTACTGCAGTTAACCATGGTGAGCTGTAGCATAAATTCTCCCCCTTTCTTGTATTGCAAACTTTGCCCTAAGTGCTACTTGTCTATAGATTTTCATATCAATGGTTGTCCATTGTGACCAGACATGTCTCTTGCAAAAGACACCTGTGTGACATGCTTGGTGTCACCAAGTCTGTCCCAAGCAAAGCATCTGCTTAAGCTAGGAAAGAGTTTTGTGTATGACCTCACTTGTACAACAAGAGTGTGGGAAACCATACTCGCCTCTGTTTGGTCCCTGACACGGTTTTTTTGTGTGTGCTGTTATGGGAAAATGACAAAAAGAATCCTTTGCAGCTGCCTGTATAAAGACTGCTCTCACTACAGGGGAAAAAAAAAAAAAAAAAGGGAGAAAAGGAGGTATGTGCTTGGTGCAAGGGAAGAGAGAAACTTAGATGGAAGGATTGTGAGAGGATAGAGTCCATAAACCTTTAGAGAGGAAAAGTTTAAGAACCTGGAGCACAAAGCCAGGGGTTGATCAGGAATGGAAAATAGGCAGGAACAAGGTGGTTAAGGAAGGAGCCTGGGGCACAGAGAGATTGCTGATTTTGGTAATTGCTAGTAAGAGTTTGGGGCAGGTAGATGATGTAAGTTTGTTAAAGAAGTTGGGATGTGGGTGACGTGTGGGGAATTGGGCTCCTGGAGTACTGAGGAGGATGTGAGCCATTTGCTCATCTGTGTGTGTAATGGAAGCAAAAGGAGTGTTAAATTCAAGAGCAGTTCAGGCCTGTGGGAGGGGACAGGAGTGATTTTGGATGTTGGTATTTGTCAGTGGCCAAGTGAGAGAAGAATGGAAAGGGGGGAACGTGGGACTTGGGGAGAGCTGGGAAGGGAATTGGAGGACTTGCGTAGCAACGACAAGTAAGCAACAGATATCAGATTGACATACAAATGGCAAGGGAGAACTAGCAATGCAGAGGTCAGCTTTAATAAGCTGAGGAGGAAGCCACAAAAGGGGACAGCAGCAAGAAGCAACAGGTTCTTCCCCACTGCCTGCTCTTTCGCACGCTGTAATTACATGAAGGAGGCGTGTGAAGATGCAAGGCGACAGGGAGCCACCACATGTCCCACCAGACCTCTTCACGTGTGCTGGTGCCGGTCCAGCATCTCCTGCAGCACAAGCGAGAAGAGGAACCCAGGGCTGGCTGAGGAATGAGAGGCGTTTCCAGCTCAGTAGTGTGCAGGGGTACAATCATTTTTGGCTGTATCTCAAGGCCCAGTTTAAAGAGGATCTGGAAAATCGTGGACATTTGACATCACATACAAATATTAATACCCCCCCTAAAAAAGCGGAGGGGGGAGGGAGGGGAATGACAGCCTTCTGTCCCACTGCCTATATACTTAGCAACTTATTCCAGTGTTTACAGTGTTCATGGTGGTTGTTTACTTTATTACACGTTAATGCATCTAACCTGATTCCAGAATGTTGTCTTCACCTTCAGGGGTTTCTGTTTGTTGGTAACCTCACTGGTTTTTCCCAGTTAATTTTTCTTTAATGAGCAGAAGGTACAGCTGATTGTTGAGAACAAATTTTCAGCCTTCCCAAAGGATTCATTGATTTGATTTCTGTTTTCAAATACCGTTTTAAGAGAGCCCTCAGTTATATTAATATTTTATTTTGCAGAGAAACTGGAAGTTTGGCAAGGTTAATAACATCTTTAAAAGAAAATGTATTTGGAAGTCCTATAGAATTGCTAAAATTAAGTGTTCCATCTTTGGTGTATGCTCTCCAAAACAATATGGCGTTTGTGGCTCTTAGCAACTTGGATGCGGCAGTCTACCAGGTAATACACGTTTTTGTCAGTAACTGATCTGTGAATACATTTCTCTTCACTGTTTCATGAGGTGTGTGTGCTAGGTATCTGTCTGCCTAGCACACAGTACCCTTTTTAGCCTCAGTGTGAAAAGCCAAACGGTGGCTTGTTACATTCAGAGCATCCACTCTGTTGCAGTGCTCTGGTTTTCTGAGCCTAACCCACTCACTGCTAGAGTCACTTCACATTCACTTTGTTGTAGTTAGCAATGGTACAAACCCCCAAGAAATCTGTAGGAAATCAGTGAATATAAAATTGTATTTATCATTCTGTAGTTGAAGTCTCTATTTTATAATTTTCTTGTTTAGGAGGAGTTTATAAAACCACATCCTCTGTGCTATATCCCCATCTCCTTTAGGTGACATACCAGCTGAAGATCCCTTGTACAGCTTTATGTACAGTCCTAATGCTAAACCGTACCCTTAGTAAGTTGCAGTGGTTCTCTGTCTTCATGCTGTGTGGTGGTGTTACCCTTGTTCAGTGGAAGCCTGCTCAGGCTACAAAAGTACAGGTAAGAGTTTACATTTTGCCACTTCACAATGAAGAATAAACTGCCTTATGATTTGTATTTCACTTCACAGTGGCTGGGATTAAGGCAGGGTCTCTTACATTTCACACAGCAGTACCCGTTTCCTATTTCTAGCCACTTTGTCTCCAACGTAAATGCTAGTTTGGTCATTCACTTTCACGTTTATTGTACGCCAGTTCAGGCAGGCATGCGGTGATGTTGCTCCAGTCTCACGTGTTGGATTGCTACAACTAGTATAAATTACCACAGTCATCATAATCAGTCTAACGCACCATCATTAGTATGTAGCTGAGTAATACAGTGTTTCCAGCAGTTGGCCCTGGTATCACTGCTGGAGCAGAGAACTGGGAATCGAAGCATTTGGCAGAATTAGGAGTGAAACTCCAGTGCCTTGTGGGTGGGGTATGTCATTGAAACACACCCTTCACAGGCACTGACCTAATCCTGTTCTAGGGAGAAACAAGCGTCTTCTGTTTCTTAGGTGTTAGCTGCTGGTCGGTGGCGTTAGTAGGATGGGCAGGGCGTGCAGCTGGGAAGACTGGCCGCAGCCAAGTAGCGGGTTCCTCTGAGCACTGCAAGGGTTGGTAAGGGTACACAGGGAGAGCGAAACACCACACAGCTACACCGAGTTAATCCGAAGGACTGCTCTTAGCTAAGCAAGTACATTTTGTACTGTAACAAAATGTTAATAATTTTGCTTGTACTGAACAAAGTAGCTCTGGAATTGATTATTGTAAATTACTGAAGTGCTGCATCCTTTTTTAAAATACCCGTTGATGTTGCAGGTGGAGCAGAATCCATGGCTAGGGTTTGGAGCCATTGCGGTTGCTGTATTGTGTTCAGGATTTGCAGGTATAGTATTACTTCTATACGCAGGTCACCTCAAAAGGATGGGAGGATCCATGGTGTTTAAAATGGAACATTCTACATTAGTGAACTGTTTTTATTAATTAGAAGATAAAAAAGGACTTTCTCCTCTCTGCCCATAATTACCTTCTGCTTGCAGTACATGACATGATTACTCTAGTTGTCCAGCAAATAACGAGGAGCACATACTATTGGTTTATCTGATGCAACTTAGAAGGCTGGTTTGCAAGCGGAAGCGTCTTTCAAATGCTTAGAATAATACTCTAGGGAACATCCATAATGACTCACTCAGTACAATTAATTAATGTACATCAGGTTTATAAATTTGGCCTTATAGTGAATAGCTCCCTTAATGGTGATCACATGAAATACTTGCATTTTTTTATAAGGGGAACTGAGCTACTCACTCAGTTCTTGCACTACCTCAGCCCCGAAACACGCATTGCTGTAGTCCTGTAGGTGATAAATCTGAGATGCAGAGGGAACATGAGTAAGGCAGAGAGGAAGATGAGTAGCAGGAAGCCTAGGTTAACTGCATGGAGGACTTTTGGTTTGGTTTTGTTCCACAGCCAGCGCTTCCCTTCAGAGTAGTTTTCCTCTGGCTTCCGTAGGAGACCAGAACTTAAGGACAAGTGAGCTGGTGCTGAGAAGGAAATGTAAATTACTACTTAATTTGAAATTTGGCTCACAGGGGCATATTTCCCTGGCTGTAAACTGGATTCTTCCCCCTCCCTTTGTAAGAAAACAAGGTATTATCACCTACCTCTAGTACCATGCAATCCTGCAAGAATGCTCTTGTGCTGTGCATACACGCTCGTTACTGGTGGAAAACATTCTGGTTGGCAGGGGAGGAGAGGAGGAGGGTGCCATTCTTGTTTGGTGTCTTTTCAGTGAAATGGGCACTTTGAACCAGAAATACTAAATAAGACTGTGTAGAGCTCAATCAACATTCCCTGGAAGGTTATAAACTTGCCCATTTCAACAGATGCTCCTAAGCCACGAGACAAAATACGGCATTCATGGAGGAGCCTTCAGAGCCTGCTAAAGCTCTGTAGCTTTCTCTTGATAACGTGGGTGGACAGCTGTGCTTTTAAAGGTCTGCAAATTCAGACCACTGACGGCTGATGCAGGCAGCTCTGGAGGATTTAGACACATAGGGCTTGCTTCTCCTGCAAAAGGATTGCAGCTTGGGTGTTTCCTCACTGACAGCTCTAGCTTTGAGGCAGCTGGGAGGACAGCACATTTAATCCGTGGAGCTCCTTGTGCCCTTGCGGCTTTAAGTGTTGAAAACATAAATCCTATTCAAACTCCTTTCCTCTCCTTTCTTCTTCCACCCACATGAAGAAGTTATTTTGGCACTAAGCCTTCAGTTTCTGGACTGACCATGTTAAGTGTTTTATATTATTCCAGCAGAGTAAAAAAAATTTTTGTGTTTTTTGTCCCTCAGAGATGGAAAAGAAGTTTTTTCTTCAAACTGTTGATCCTGTGATAATTTCCAAGTATCCAGGGGCCCAACAATGCTTATAAAAGCATTGGACAAATATGTAATGGCAGATCCTTTGTGACTTGAAACAGTACTGAAGAGTAATTTCTCCCAAACCACACACGTTCTTTCCTTCACCTTGCCTAGTGGAGTGATTTTTATGCATTTTCAGAAACCCGAAAGCATCATTTCATGGCTTTGCTTACTGCTTTCCTAGTTTACAAAATTTACAAGTATGGTTCATACGCAAGCCAAATTTCTGGCACATTGATTACACCTGGTTGTGCTCCGTGGGGGCAGAAATCTCGAGATAGATTACTCTGGATTCTTTTAAATGCTGCAGTCATTAACAATACTAGTTTTTTGTTGATATTGCTTAGACTTTAAAAATGTATATTTGTATGAGATAGTGTAATATTTCCTTGGCGTTTTATTATTATTTGAATCCCTGAAATAGAATTCTGTTCTCCAATTCATTCACCATAAATATTCACTATACTGTATTAAATTATAAATTGCATTTTTCATGAATAAGAGAATAGCAAGACCTTATAGAATCATAGAATCACTTTGGTTGGAAAAGACCTTTAAGATCATAGAGTCCAACCTTTAACCTAACCCTGCCATCCCACCACTAAACCATGTCCCTAAGCACCTCATCTATCCTTCTTTTAAATACCTCCAAGGATGGGGACTCTACCACCTCCCTGGGCAGCCCATTCCAGAGCCTGACAACCCTTTCAGTGAAGAAGTTTTTCCTAATATCTAACCTAAACCTGCCCTGGCGCAGCTTCAAACCATTCCCCCTCGTCCTATCCTTGAAGCTTCAAACCATTCCCCCTCGTCCTTCCTTGAAGCTGACTTGGGGATTTCAGGAGGAGCATGAGCCTAGGGCTTCTAACCCACAGGTCTTTTCTCTGTGCCATTTTTCTCAGTTCCATATACTTCTCTCATACCGTATGAAGGATCTTGGGTGACATTAATCAGCAATAAACTTTTAGTCAGGACTCGCAGCAGAGGGTCATGGAAGTGGGGGAGATTATCTGAGTTCTGCAAACCGCTGTCTATGTTTTGAAATGCAGAGGAAATTCCAGAGATTAGCCAGAGTCCTGGTGTGGGAGCAATGGTTAAAAAGGCATCTAGTGATGGCCTTGTCAAATATTGGCCTTTTAGTCTGACACACACCTCCCAAGTAGAATAATGAAAAAGTATTGGGGAATTTCAGTAATGCAGAGCATAAAAGTAGTGCTCGTCAGCATGGCACTGTGACCAAGAGCTGTAGATTAAAATGAATTCCATTTCCTCAAAACCAACCTGTAGTTTCAATTAGCAGAAGGCATTGGTTTTGATTTGCTCTTGTAGTCCCCAGAAGCTGTGGTTTCAGAAGGTCGCCACTCTGCCAAGTGCTCTGCAAGCACGAGGCTTCCGAGGAATTTTCAGTCGCAGTACTGAGGTAACATAGTCCCACCCACTCCTATTTCTCCCTTCCCCCCCCGCCCCCTTTTTTTTATTATTTTATACTGCTAAATATCTTGATGGAAGAAAAATCGTTCCCCATTGTAATGAAATACATAAATACTGTCCTGGGGATACAATACCAGGTGCCAAGGTGAAACACTTTTTTTCTGGTATGGAATTGTACAGTAGAAACTGTTGGAATTGGAAGCTTAGCAAATCAAACAGAAATGAGGAGCAGTTTCAGTTGTTGATGAGGTTTGTTGTTAAAACAACTGTAAACAGAAATAGAATCTATTTTTGGTGTTATATACCCATTGAAATGATCCTGTTGTGGAAGATGGACGTTAACAGGATGTGCTTTTGGGCCTTCTGCATCGGAAACTTCTGTGAAATGTAAGAGTCTGTTGGACAAGATGATTCCAGTAGTCTTGTCTGGCTTTAAGACGCTATGAACCATGAATCATTAAGAACAAAGCTTCATTCATTTTACTGAAACTGGTTTTTTTTTTTTTTTTTTTTTTCTTTTAGGAGTTTATTTTGAGAAGGTCTTAAAGAGTTCAGATACTTCCTTGTGGGTGAGGAATATTCAGATGTACTTATCTGGGATTGTGGTGACTTTATTTGGTGTGTATGTGTCAGATGGAGCCCAAGTTCTTGAGAAAGGGTTTTTCTATGGCTACACATACTACGTCTGGTTTGTCGTCTGTAAGTATCGTTTGGTTTTAGAGTCTCATTGTTTTGCTTTTTTAACTATGATATAACTGTCTCCACAAAGCTACAAATTCAGTCTGACCCTCTGTTCTTTACTGTGTTGTGGGGTTTGGGTTTGTTTGTTGTTTATTTTAAAGTATCATTATCTTGGAAATTATTCACTTGTTCAATTGAAAATCGTGCTGAAACAGCAGTCTAAATGACTGAGGGAGTAGATCATCTTTAAATGAGCTGTATCTGATCTACTAGGTGCTGAGTAGACATCCCATTTTGCTGAATGTTGCATTGAATCACCGATTAGGATGACATAGCCCAAACAAGGAGTACACCAGTGGAGTAAAATGCATTGTTTCAAGAGTAACCCGCTGCACCTTTACTAACAGAAACATGTTATCTGCTTTCCAGTCCTCGCCAGCGTAGGTGGCCTCTACACTTCGGTCGTTGTTAAGTACACGGATAACATTATGAAAGGCTTTTCTGCAGCGGCAGCCATTGTTCTTTCTACCGTGGCATCAGTCATCCTCTTTGGCCTCCAGATAAGTAAGTGCCTTCTTGCCTTTGATTTGACCCTGCAGGCATGTTTCCTGCCTGGCCAGCAGGCTGTACGCACGTCATACCAAAGCAATCATTTGAATTTTTCTAATTTTAACTCAAGTCTTCTCCAGGACTCCCACGAGCTAATGTATGGTTCCTGTTGTGATGTGTAAGGTGCCTAACAATCCTGTGCTTTCAAAGGCATTCACGGTTTGTTCTTCCAGAGGCATCCCAGAACCTCGAGCGGAAAGGTTCTTGCCAATTTAAACAGCTTACGAGTTTGTACAGCTTTGCTTGTGAATTGCTTTCTGATGCAGTTTAGTGTGCGACAGAGCTGTTTACCTCAGACTGCTGTTGGTAAGTGTGATGGGTTGACCCTGGCTGGACGCCAGGGGCCCACCACAGCCACTCTATCACTCCCCTCTGTAACTGGACAGGGGAGAGAAAAGTAGATCAAAAGGCTCATGGGTCGAGATAAGGACAGGGAGAGATCATTCGCCAGTTACACAGACTCAACTTGATGAAATTAATTTATTACCAATCTAAATCGAAGTAGGAGAAGATAAAAACTGCTGAATCTTAAAGCACCTTCCCCCCCACTCCTCCCTTCTTCCCGGGCTCAACTTCACTCCCAATTTTCTCTACCTACTTCCCCCAAGCAGCACAGGGGGACAGGAATGGGGGTTGGGGTCAGTTCATCACACATTGTCTCTGTCGCTTCTTCCTCCTCTTCCCCTGCTCCAGCGTGGGGTCCCTCTCACAGGAGACAGTCCTCCACGAACTTCTCCAACGTGAGTCCTTCCCACAGGCTACAGTTCTTCACGAACTGCTCCAGCGTGGGTCCATCCCTCCCACAGGGTGCAGTCCCTCAGGAGCAGACTGCTCCAGCATGGGTCCCCTGCGGGGTCACAAATCCTGCCAGCATGGGTCCACAAAGTCTTGCCAGGAACCTGATCTGGCACAGGCTTCTCACGGGGTCGCAGCCTCCCTCGGGCATCCCCCTGCTCCATCATGGGGTCCTCCCTGGGCTGCAGGTGGAGATCTGCTCCCCTGTGGGCCTCCATGGGCTGCAGGGGGGACAGCCTGCCCTACCATGGGCTGCACCAGGAGCTCTGGCGCCTGGAGCACCTCCTCCCCCTCCTTCTTCACTGACCTTGGTGTCTGCAGGGCTGTTTTCTCTCACATCCTCTCACTTCTCTCTCACAGGCCCTTCCGCCGTAGCTGATTGGCTTGGCCTTGGCCAGCGGCGGACACAGGGAGAACTTCTGGCAGCTTCTCACAGAAGCCACCCCTGTAGCCCCCCACTACCAAGACCTTGCTACACAAACCCAATACAATAAGTTATAATTTCTTGTTGGTTTAGTACAGCCAGTGCTAAATTAATCCCTCGGCTATTTCTGCAAGGGCCTTGCCACATCCCTGTCAAGTTATGCCTGCTACTGCATTAACCTTCCCCGTCCCCATTTCCTGTGGCCAGCACGGAGAGCGAGTCAGACAGCAGCTGGGGTCATGACTGAGGTGGTGAATAGTTTTGAGAGGAAACAGCAGATGGCTTTGGGCTGTCCTGGAACTACAAAGGATTTTCTCCCTGATCAAGTCTGTGTCTTGATACTGTATCCAGTAGCTCCTGTTCAGTCACTCACTGTTCAGTTTGGGGTATTTTTTTTACTTTCCTACCATAATCTGAAGAGGGTATGGTGTAATGGTGGAAAAAACTGGCTTTCAGAGGTGGCATTAGTGAGGTGAAACTTCAGGAAAGTTTGCGTAAGGAAAAAATCATCAGTGTCTGGCTGAAAAAGAGCACCACTGTGAACCAAGTGATGAAAAACGCAACTAGTTTTAGAAAGGCACTTGGGCAGAACGTTTTCTTGACTGTTGCCACAAATCAAGCCTGGACTGTCAACCCTGTCTGGATGTGGTAGGGCAAACAAAGTGTGTTATCACAGGCTACTTTATCACACCCCCTGTGTCTTTATCATTAAGTTTATTGTAACAGAAGCCTGTCGGATGGCATCTGGAACAGCAGATGTTTCACACTTGCTTTTCTGACCATCGCCACAGTCTTGCTGATGCGAGACCAACTGAAGTGGTGTGGGGACAGTAAATACTCAAGAGATCTCGATGACAGAGGATGAGTCTAGATGCTGTGAATTACTAACAGCTTATTGTCCTGTTCGGTTTTGAGTAACTTTAATACTGTCGTTCAGACATCATCGTAATTTGTACAGCTTAGCCTTCTGAAGGTTTGTTCTTACATGGAAGTGCTTATTGAAACTATTTTGTCTCCTTTCAGCCGTTACCTTCTCCCTGGGTGCTCTCCTGGTGTGTATTTCTATTTACCTCTATGGATTACCTCGACAAGACACCACAAAAATCCAGCCATCGGAGACTAAGAGCTCAAAAGAGAGACTCGCTACTGTGTGACGTTGTCCATCAAAATGGACAGACAGACAGGAGAAAAAACAGACTGTAAAAAAAAACCCCTGCATTTTTAAAAAAAAATTAGCCTTAAGCTAGTCATGAAACAGTTTAAGTGGGATAGACTAAAAGCAGAAGTTCTGTCTTACGTGTGAAGTTTCCAGTGGCTGGCGCTGAGGCTACGTTACAGCTGAGGAGCTGGATGAGTATTTTACTGAAGGTGTTCTTCATTCACATCGAACAATGAAGAGTCCCGTTGACAAGGAAAGCAGAATGAAGGAACTGAACACTCAATTGTATATAATGTATATAATGGAGGGAAAATGGTTCTTTGTGTATTTGATAAACTGTCTTGCCTTTTGAGGGCAGAAATGCCCCAAAGCTTCATAAAAATCTATTAAAAAGAGCAATTACTGCCAGCATTTTGTCTTAAAACTAGTTGGCAATTGCAGTTTGATTAATGACAGGAAAAGTTTCTCTTCTAGGTTGATACGTAGGAGATGGCGCAACTCCACCAGGAATAACCACGCTTTAAGCATCGCTTACCTGGAAGTGATCAGAAGCAACACTTGCTGTTTGGTTTAAGAAGTCAGAATGAGTGACCAGGGTTTCTCTTTAAGGTGCAGATTTTCTTTCACTTTTGTTTTTTTTACGCCTGCTGTAGCTGGATCTTCTGTCCTATGTGTTTGGGGAACAGTTGGAGCGGGGAAGGTTCATGTGTGTTCTTGTATCTCTGGCTTGAGTATGAATGAGTCAACTCTAAAATATCAGACTAGCAAATTTTTATCTGTACATTTTCTCCCTAAACCTCTTTGTGCATAGAGAGCGATGCTTGAAAAGAGTTCCTGCAGTGGATGGTAGGCTTTGATTTAACTTAAGAGTGCCGACTGTGCAGTTTCAACCTCCTCCCTCACTTTCTGAGGCCTTGCTCAGTCCAACCCTTCCAGAAGCTGCGACTCTGCATTGAGGGAAAACTGGCTGTTGTGCATGTGGGCAACTTGTTTACATTCAAAGTGGAGTCAAAATTGTGACCAAGTTTATATGCTGGGTAGGTTCCTTCAGCCATGAGTTAACCAGCTGCGTTTTACTTGAAAGTGGAGCATGTTAAATGCAGCAGTAACAAATGTGCTTAAATTCTATTCCAGGGGGAGGGGATGCTCCTCTCTGCCTTCCACCAACTGCTCTGGTGAGCGGAGGCTGGGGAGGAAGGGGGTAGGTGGAGGGGAGGGTAGTGCCAGGCATTTCTGAGGCCGGAACATAATCCGTGCTACCTCACGTGGTGACGCTCCACCTCTCTCCGGCAGTGCGACGGCTCGGGGTGCCACGTACGGTGCTGAGGGAGCACCGCCTGTCCCCTTCCACCAGCTGGGCAGCAAGCCCTCTGCGCCCTGCTCCTCACGTCGGCTGGCAGAGGAAGGGGCGAGGAGCAGGATGTGACAGTTTGCATTTGGTCTTGGCTGACGTTTAGCCAAGGGGGAGGGCGGTACAACACCCAGGAGAAAAATTCTCTGGCGTGGCCGAGTCCCTGTGTTAGCACGTACAGCGCAGGTGTAGCTGGGGTGCCGCCAGGCCTGAGTACACAATGGCGACCGCAGAAGGGGAGCACAGTTACTACTGCCTCCTCTGCCACCAGGATGTGATGTTTACATGGCAAATACAGAGCAGTTCTCTTTTACGGGAAGTAGCAGGTAGGCTGTAGGCTCACATACACTCACCTACCACCCGCCTGGGAGTAGTGGCTGGGCCGCGCGTGCTCTTCTGCAGGCGGTACGGGGGAGCAGGCAGCTTCCAGGCTGCATTCACAGTGACACACAGGCCAGGGTTTAGGTAAAATTAAAAAAACCTTTTACTAATAGATGTGACTTTACATTGCGTACAGCCTCGTTACATTCGAGTTACAGGTGTAATACCAAGAAGTTTCATTCCGTTGGCTAGAACTGAGCGTGCAGCTTGAAAGAGACAGAGCCTCGCCTGGGAAACAAGAACAGCTGTCAGCTTGGGGTATTGATGCAGAATTGGACATAGTTAGAATCACAGAATCATTTAGGTTGGAAAAGACCTTTAAGATCAAGCCCAACTGTTAACCTAACCCTGCCATCCCACCACTAAACCATGCCCCTAAGCACCTCGTCTACCCACCTTTTAAATACCTCCAGGCATGGGGACTTGACCGTTCCAATGCTTAACAACCCTTTCAGTGAAGAAATATTTCCTAATGTCCAACCTAAACCTGCCCTGGCGCAACTTGAGGCCACTTCCTCTTGTCCTAAAGTTCTCAGGACAGCAGTTAGGAGCAGCCTGCCAGAGGTGAGAACACTGCGTGCGCCCTCTGGCCCTACGCAGGGCGCTGGGATTCGCATATACACATAAGCCCAGTACTGAGTAACACGCTGATGCTGGAAGAATTCACACCCGCTGTTGCTGACAGCCCATTGCAGTGTCACCAGCAACAGGAAGCTGGATAGGGGTGTCCAGCCCCGCCTGGTACTACCCTTGGGGCAGTGACCAGAGGAGACGCCTGCGAAAGAGCTGCCATGACTAAAAAATGAAAATGTTTCACGCACTACACGCTGTTACAGCCTGAGGATGCTGCGGGAATCCCTCCTCTCACTCTGCCTGGGTTAGAGGCTGTCAAGCAACTATGGGCTGCTTTGAAAATGTTGCCCTTCCTTGTCAATGCCTCAGCTGTTACACAGCTGGCTCTTTGGGAAGGGCTCTATCACCCCTGCTCCAAGCAAAAATAGTTCTTGAAAGCCATCACATTGTAAGATATTTAGAAGTTTTTTTGATTTTTTTTTTTTTTACAAGATAAGGAACTGAAATTTTCCTCATAGCTTGGACTGTCTTAGTCCATCTTCAAGGGCAGGCATACCTACAGCATCTAAGCTCAAATAGAGAGTGCAGCTCCATCGATTCCACTGGACTTCCCTCGCCCCCCAACACAGCTCAACACTTAAATGTGATTTCCTACCAAAATCAGATAGGGAATTGCTTTCGAAATAGAGGAGAGAGAAAATAAGAAAGGTAGTGTAATTAGCGTATCATTTACTGAGCAGAGAAGGGATCAAACATTCCCTGGGAAATGAGTAGAAAATAACATGCATGTATTTGGAACCGCACACTAACAGCTGTCAGCCTCCGTGCTTTAGCCAGAAAGGCAATATGGACAACTGGGGATGTGGAGGTGGCAAGAGGGAGGAGACAGATTCATTTATCTCCTAATTCTCTGTCTTCCCACATAACCACTAAAGGAAATCATCAGGCATTAACCAGCCTGTTAAATGCTCAAATGTTTACTTTTAAAAAGTTCAGAAGGAAAGGGGTTTGACTGGGTTTGGAGCAGCTGCCCTTCCCTTCAGGAGCATCCTTTTTTGGGAAGATCAGGCAGAGCAGCCCTTTCCAGAAGGCGGAGCTGCCAACAGGAACCCCTGCCTTCTCGAAGCAGTGCCGCCCACAGGAGAGCCTGCCTGTTGGCTCAGGGCCCGGCAGGGTGCGTGTTCACCCAAGTGGTTACGCAGCTGGGTTGGCAAAGCCCTACGGGATCATTCCTCTGGGATGCCCTACACAGACTCCCGCCACGTAGCAACGCTGTGCCGTACCTGGGCTAGTTCAGGGGCGCTGCCTTTCACAGGAAGGGTTTTATGTGCCACGGCTGCAAGGTGGCTGAAATGGAAAAGGCAGTGAGAATGAGCAAGTCTCTTGGCAGGAGCCATGCTACGGACGGCAGAAAGCAGCAGAACTGCAGCGTGCCAGAGACTTGTCTCCAACAGCCTCTTCTACCTGGCTGAGGTTTCTGTAGCCTGCCTGCACGTTGTCAGGGCACGCCATCAACAACTGAACTGAATGCTCATAAAATAACCCCAAAGCAATCTCTCCACTTCCCCCTCTCCCCGTCCCCCCCACTAAAAAAAAACCCCAGAACAAACTGATCTGGAAAGATCCTAGAGAGCCTGTCCTGTCATTCCCAAGGTGCACGATTCCTTGTACAATTTTCCTTAACTTGTTAAAGCTTTCCCACACGCAGGCTCTACAGCTGCCTCCAGCAAGTCTACTCCAGTGTTTTACTGTGCTGTTAAATCAGACGGGTCCTTGTGGGGACCCTCCCTATGGAGGTCACATAGGCAGTATGACTTACTGTAATAATATGCTTTGTCCATCTCAACACATAGGCCGAGAGCAGTGGTTAAAAGGGGTTTGGACAAAATTTCCTAGCTGAAATGCTGAAATTTGAGAACGTATCGTCAGCTCAGATCTGCACTGTAAGATATGATTAGTCCAGCATGGTTTTGGGTTCAGACACTGGGTTACAGCCAAGCGATTCTTTTTGCTTAAAAGCAGTTAAGTTTCAGAGGAGGCTCCTGGCTCCTTTGTTCCTGGTTCCAACCTCGATCTCTACTGTTTATTATATTATTCGCTATCCTACTTTATACCTTTCCTGCTCCCAAGAAACTGTCTCAGAAATTTACATCTTCCCACTATTTTTACTCTGCAAAGCAGTGCAGATGCGAAGGCTGCAGAGCCAGCTCAGGAAGACCTGTCCTTACTGGAGATAGATGCCAGTATCAGCAATCACCTTACCTAAGCATGAGGAGGTAGCTGACGATGTGCTTGGGTTGCAGATCCTGAGAAGATCTATATAGGACCTCATCATACCTGTGAAGAAAGAAAAGGGTTCTCTGGTGTTAAAGTGGTAGGAAGGCGTGCTCAGATACAAGGCTCATCAGACTTGCTTAAGTTGGAACACACACACAACCACTGCTGCAGAATTAACAAAAATTATCTTCTGAACCAGACCTAAGCCACACAATTAGCATACAATTGATTATTTCTTCCTCGTTCACTTATTATTGAAGGAGATTGCTTCTGCTCCTCATCACGCAAACACTGCCTCAGAGAGTCAGGCTATAGCAAAGAGAACACAAGAGCTATATTTGCTCCTGGAACATTATGTCTGGTTTTACATTTCAGCACTAATTGTAAGTTCCTAGGAGCAAAAAACATGTACTAAATAACCAAGGCAGTCAAAATAGTCCCTTAGGGGATGTTGCCTTTAGTAAATGCAGCTTAGAATTTTAAGTAGCTAAAGGGACTCTTGTAACATTAGAAAAGACAAAAACAAAGTGGGTTTACATAATCCTGGAATAAAATCAACTTATGTAAGTCTATTAAACCAGATAATACAGGCAGGGTCATGGAGATCCATTGTTTTTTTCTTCATGTGTTCTGCTGTCCACTTTGCGCACATCCTCTTTCTCACAGCCTGCAAGAAGTTACCAACACCTCTGGGGATGAACAGGTTTCAGATTCAAAGCGGGGATCGGACTTCCTGGTCTTTGCTCAGCTCCCAGGCCCATCCCCGCCAGGATGCCCAAGCTGAACTTCCCTGGGATCTTCCTCCTTTGAAGGCAAGCTGCAGGAGAACTGAGGAGTGAGCTCTGACAACGAGGGC